GAAAGAAAGTATATTAGAAAGTCATTTTAATTAGAAATAAATATTAGTAAAAAGAGAATTATATATAATAAAAATGATAATATCAATGAAATAATGTAAGCCGTATAGTTTTGATATACTTTGTATATTCTTGTTATGATTTAATTTATAAAAATAAAATATATGAAATCGAATAATTATATAAGATACATGTTCTCATTGCTCTTTAATATTAAAGTAGACTTTACATTGATTTATGTATGAAACAGAACTATTTATACAAAATTGATTACTTCCACTTAGAATTTTATTTATTTTTTTTATTTAATATTCAAAAGTTAATTTAATAAATTCTTATTAAACATTTGAGTGTTTCCTATTTCCTTTTTGTATGAGCTGACTGCACATAGCGCAATGATATGTACATGTTGTATAATCAGCAGCCAGAAAGGAAATAGTTCAACAAATCGTAGCCACATGATTTTATTTTGTTCTTTTCATATTTATTCTGCAACTTGACTTTCTGGACGCAGATACTTGCAAATAATCTAGAATATATTTATACAACTAATAAAAACGTTAATTTAATTTTTGGAAAGGAAAGGAAAAGAATAAAAAGAAACGGAAAAAGTACGACGCGTTCTATGTAGAATTATGCACATATATTAGCGATTTACGACCGGTTATAAGCTAATTGTAATGGGGTTTGGGTTGATTCGGTGTTACAGACGGTCGTTTGCCCCCCTTAGAATCATCCTCCGAATGTGATTCTAACGTGGACAGTGAAGTGTCTTCCCATTCGCTTCATTATCAAACAGGTTGGTTACTTTATCTTCCTTTTACGTATCTTTTCTATACGTATTATATTCCACAAGCTGTTCATACACGTAGTTTTATGTTCTTCTGTATATCGAAGGAGATGATGTTAGAGGAGTATTGAAAAAGAAAAAAAGAAAAAAAATCTGAAATCAAGATCCATTCACATTTTCAATTGTTTTCCATCCCTGTGTGTACTGCCTAACGTGATATATCATTTCTCACGATACTCGCTTGGTGTGGCATTCTTGCTTATGAGATTATATCGATATAGATCGTTCATATCATTCGGATTGACATACGGAAAAGAAACGCCGAAATCTCAAGGAATT